TCCTGCTTTTTAACCCCTCCTTTAACCATGCCCTCAAATTCCCCTCCTTCCATTTTCAAGGCTTGTTACCTTTCCCCAAGCATCTTCCCTTAAGTACACATTATCCCATGTTCTCCTTTTCATTCATTAGCCTGCTATTGCCTCCGCTTCATTTTAAGCGCTCTCATTAAGAACTGTAAAGATCAAAGGCCAGTTCCCAAATCACAATGTACACACCAAAGCAGTCCCACTTCATGTACAAATGCTCTGTACCATCATGAAATATTATATCAGATTGTGATTATTCACAGGAAGGCATGGAATATGGTTTCAAACATTTGTTTAAACAGAATAATCCCTTTCCCTGGAAACAGGGGCTTGCAATTGACTTCAAAGAACAGCTTCTCTGCTTCTCTATTTAAAGCAGAACCAGGAAAGCCAGGCCTACCTGTGCAAGCTGCCCCAAAGAGTGGAGGGTGAGTTCCTTCGGGTCCGTGTAGAGAATCTCTCCAAGCTCCTGATAAGGCTTCCCAGCGGGAGTGAAGTGTCCCTGAGTGAACTGCTTTTGCCTCCTGTAGTAGTTTTCCCAAAACACTTGTTCTCTTGGAGGTTCACTGCTTCTGTAAACTGTTCTGCTTCTGGCCAAGACCTTTCCTTCCTTCTGAGCAAAGCCAGGCAAAGCCTGAATGCACACAAAATCTCGAGGATTCAGCACTTCAGTGGCTGCCAGCACCTTGTTTCTGTTGCTCCGAGACAGGTTTGGTGCCACAGGGATCTCAAACCTCAGGCTCTTCAGTATTTTTGGTGCCCCACGTGCCTCGGGTCTGCTGCTCCCACCTTTATTTGCTGCTGCAGGTTTCTCAGCCCACCAGTTTTTAGATTTCTCTGATACTGGCATTGTTCCGGAATGGGAACCTTGTTGTTTTCACTCCCAAAGTTATTAAAACCTCTAGTTTCCCAGTCACGAAAAAAGCACACCTGCTGCCCAAACCCTGAAGCAAGACTTTTTAATTTTCTAAAGGGTGGCCCAGCAGAAGGCTCTGCCGCTAACCAACGCACCACGAGGCCTCATTCCCCTCAAACAACAGATACAAATCCCGAGGTGCCGGGACACCTCAAACCTCACCAGTCTCCTGGGGAACCCCCAGAGCCAGCGCGCCTCCCCCTGAAGGACTGCCTTACCAATAAAACT